CAAATGCAACTGCTTGTTCCAGTGAGGAGCTATTCGGTATATTTGAGTCATTTTGTTAGCCACTGACATATTCCTACATTTGTGAAAATTGTCAGAAGCCGAGTTCAGTTCTTGTCTTAACTCTGTGCTAGGTTAATGGATAGTGYTTTTTAACTATAAGTTTTGCCAGTGTTTCTGGAGGAGAAATATGCATTAATGTTATTAACTGCAGCTATTCTCCAAGGTGATATGTTTGTATAATTCTTATTGATGCTGCTGAGACACAATATGCATCAAAGGAAGAATAAATTATGTCTCTTAAACATTTCCATTAAGTTTTCCATTTCATATTTTGACGATGCCATTAGTGCTGGGAAGAATCAGTCTTAATGATGCAGCTGCATGCCTGTGTAGGCAGAGAGAGGGGCCATGTTTGAGCTCTGAGAACACTGCGCTTCTTTCTGCACGCGTTGTGGAAGAGCAGGCGTCAGCTGCCTGGCTTGCRTATACTGTGTGTTAGGCAGAACTAGGTTAGGAGACGTGCTGCCTGCTTGCAGAACTGCTGTACCCCAAAATTCCCGTAGTTCAGGTCTTGTAAGTGTCCCCTGTATCCTTTATCTTCATAGKGGGCTTTGCATTTGGTTACAGGTTTTCTATTATTAACCTTTTCTCTTCCTTCCCTAGAGAGAAATAATGTAACAAGTAATAGGAAGCTCTCTGTAACCAATTGAGAAAAATCGTAGTACTCTTGGTGGAAGCAGCCCACAAGATGACTCAGAGGCTCCTTGATGCTGCTTCGTTTACGCTCACAGGGCTCTTGGCATGCAGAGACGCTGCAGCAGAACCGCTTGGATACCAGAGCTCAGAAGCTCCCATTCATTGTTACAGCAGCTCGTACCTACTTAGGGTGTTTGCCAGCTCCCCAGTCAACCAAGGGTAATGTATTACTGCAGAAGTCCTATGACAAATTTCTTAATTTGCAAGTTTTGCATTTTTACTGCTTAATTCCCTTGAAGGCTTTCACCTCAGGAGCACTGTGAATTAACTTGACAGCTTAAATAACTGCCACACAACTGCACGTGTTKCCTTCTGCTGTAAGAATGCAAGCAGAGAACACGAGAGTTAAACTTCCTGTGTATATTTCATCTGGACAACATATGCCAAATTCCTTGGGCATTTATTGCTAAGAAATGAAAAATGACAAGTGCCCCTGCCTGTAAAGAAGTTCTCCTCRGAGGCTGAAATGCTTTTGAGCAAGCTTATAGGCTAGAGAGTAAACAAACTCATGTGACTGATATTTGTCTGGTGAYTGGGATGTCACCTTCCCGTTTCCATAAGAGCTTGTAGTCTGTGGTGTGCAGCTCGGTGTGGACTTGAGCAAAAATAAAGCAGCTAAAGAAAAGGATACGCACTGACCCTTTTGCTGACTGAGAGCAAATATTRGTCAGTTGGTAACGGAGTCACTTTTCTCAAAGAGACAGCAGCGAATTAAAATCTGAATATCTGCCAGCATGTCTAAATTRCATCAGCTGGGTCGTGATCCTATTGCATGTTATTCTCTGCCTTTCTTTTGTTTATGCTTGATATGCTCTTTATTGCCCAGCTGTTTCTGTTCCTAGTGCTGCTTCAGAAATTGCTTTCCTAATGCTGAAGTGTCTTTTAGCTAGCCCTCATCTTCTCACATTTACAGTGGTTTTTATTCAAGGGTGACTTCCCAGTCTAGCTTCTTCCTACTTCGTGTCCATTTAGCACTAAAAAATTCTCTTCCTCCTTCTCTGCCTCCAGCTACCCCTTTGTTTTGGGTTAACAAAAACTTTCCTCCTAGTTGCTAAACTTCCTATTTAAAAAAAAAAAAAAAAAAAAAGTTCTCTGCTCTCCCCTGAACGGCACTTTGGCACTTTGCACTTTGGAGGTGCTTCCTCTGAAAATCTAGAATTTTCGCTGTTCTTGCCCAGATCTTCAGCATTGGGGTTGCTGTTTTATTGAAACTATTGATGCTACAGTGATGTAAATGCATTTGTTTGGCCATTGATACTTGCTGTTTATTCATAACTCCTGCCATCTGTCAGGTCCACACACAGGTTAACAAGATACCATGTCACTGGGGAAAGCAGCATCTCTGCCTCTGATTATAACAGCATTTCTCCATTTATCTTCAACAGTCTCATTAGCACAGTGTCTGTGGCATGAAAAGGAACAGAAATATGGACCCCCAATTCCAAACTATTTCTTTCTTTTATCCTGTTCCATGTTTCCTCTTTAATAAATCCTAGGGAAATGACATACCTTTAACTTGTATGTTGCAATAGAGGTTTTTCCTCTCACTGTTGAGAAGGTCTCACCACAATTGTCTCTCTCCAAAGACGCTGAGTATGGCTCTAATCATTATAAATTGCAATAAGATTTTTGAATCTTCCATCCAAGCAGTAGAGATTGACTGATCTACACCATAGGTATATTTGCAGTCAGGATAGGTTGTTGAAATAGCACTATTAATTAACTGTTTTTTCAAGAACTTTAAAAGGTGTATGCCACAAGTTTTTAAATACYGATATATCTAATAGTTTTATCATAACAGTGTGAGTTTTTGTTGTTTGTTTTTTGTTTTGTCCTTTTTCTTCCCCCTTGATACGAGCATACCTTTAAATATAGGAGTATTATTGCCATGGATTTCAGCTCTCTTTTGCTTCTGTTTTCTTTGTGCTTACTTATTAAAATAATCTGCAGATTTAACCATCATGTGTATTACTAAGAAACTGTAATTATAATCTTCCTTATTTCCTGATTTAAGTTCTTAAAGTCAGTTTCTGATACAGTTCTTTGAAATAACAAGAAGTTGAGAAATATTGGTCTGGATCTTATCAGCTGGTTTCTGGTCTTCAGAATTGCTTCTCTGACCCTCTTGGGAGTGCAGTTTGCTTCTTTTGGAGGGAGAGCTGTTACAGGTTGCAAAGGATGCTTGCAGTAGCTTCAKAAGTGTCTAAGCAATGGTTCCATCCAGCGTGCAAGAACTCATTGACACTATAAAATATATCCTTTTTCTGTAACTGCATGTCAGTATGGGAGCTTCCTTTAAGAGTGCCATAGCAGGAACATGTATATTTTCAAGGGGCAAATCTGGTGTTTTGCACTAGTCTGTTCTATTTTTTTTCCTCCTTTTTTCTCAATGAATTCTCCAAAGTCCCTAAGCCCTTAATGGTTTCTCTCATGGGAGATTCAAAGTAGCTCAGGTTGACTTGATGGAGTGCCAGGGAAGGCAGTGGTACTTCAAAGCAACAGCTAATAACTTTAAACTCTCCTTAGCCTGTCCTTAGGCTTGCCAGGACAGAGATTTTTCATCCTGAGGAGCAAAAGGAAAGAGAGGSCGGTCTTCAAGAGGAGACACTCAGCGGCAAACGACAGATCTATAAATTGCTTTCCCTTCTGTTTTCTGTTGGTGCCTCTCTGCCTATGGATGCGCTGCTGTCTTTTGGGGACCGCTCTGAAAAGCCGAGCTGGCTGGTGGTTATCTGCACCAAACAAGGTGTTCCAGGGAAGCTGGGTAATTGTTCATGAATTTGAGTTCATTTTATCTATTTTTGACTGGGAAAAATAACAAGATAAATCTTTTCAGACATATTAAATATTTTGAACACATTAGCAGAAGGGAGTTTATGTTTAAAAATCAATGTTATTTTCAGAGGAACTAGAAACTAGGTGATAAAATAATTGTAAAATTAAATAATAATTTGCGTGAGTCAGAAAATCTTGGAGATTATTTTTCAGGTTTATCTCCTTATTTCCATTTTTTTTTTTCTACAGCAATTTTTTTTTTTTTCTCCTAGAGGTTTTGGATCATCTAGCACCAGTAAACCTAACCTTCTAGCAGGCATCCTCTGTGTGAGCTTCTCTTATTTCCAAAATCAGGAATAATGATACTGACCTGTCTTCTAAAGTGCTTAGAGATGTGCTGATGGGACGTGCTATTGGACAACAGTTTGTGTGTGTGTGTGTGTTTGTTTTTAAAACTATGCACTTGCTTTTTTTACCAGTGGTTTGCCACCAGTTCAGTGGTTTTCCTCCAGGTATTGATATCTCTTTTGCCTTATTTTAGGAAGATTATATTGTCCTTTGACAGATGATGCTCATGGTACATGCACCACCTCCTCTGGAAATCCTTTACCATAATGCATTTTTTTCTGTTTCTTCATGTAACTGTACTTCTTAATATCTGTGAATATCTCCTTTGTCCTGCTGTCTTTTAATTAACTCATCCCAACTGCTGTTTTTATTATGCATCTCTAATACTCTAATTAACACACTGTGCAATATACTGAAGGAAGAAGTTAGTATTTAAGATGCAATAAAGGATGAAAGAAATGATTGCTGAGAAACAAAATAATAAAATCAAAAGTGTGTCTTCCTACACTGACAAAGAAATGCTACTGCTGATGTGATTTCTGTTATTTTTTTTTCTCTTAAATGTATGTTTTGTCTGTAAGATACAAAATGTTTAAAATTTTGTTCTGTGGTATGGGTGTATAAGTCCAAGCTTATAACATAAGTTATTCCTGATTAATAGAAACATTTTCTCTCAATATCCTTCAACTTATAATGTTAAAAAGAATCCCAGCTCTTCACCAGGAAAACTTGTCTAATGTTTTGTCCTTGTCTTTTGCCTTTCACTTTTTAATTTTTTTCTTCTTTCTAGTCAGTTAAAGCGTGTTCAGTTTTTATCCTTCTGCTGACTGGTTTGTTTGTTTTGTTTTTCTATGATGTTATTTTTGCCCATCTGTTCTATATGTGACCTAACTAGCCATGCATATTGTATGTATCCTGATGAGAGATTTATGTTTTCCAAAAGGAAAATTAGTTGTAAGAATACTTCAAGAGGCCTAGCATGAAGATTAACTGCTCCAAGAGCACAATAATCAGACTTGAGAGTTTTCTTCCTCTTAGGCTCCCCTTCCGGTTCATGCTTTTTTCCTGCTGTCTTTCCTTTGCTTACCCTTTATAGACTTCTCTTTTTCTTTCTTTAACAGGTGGTCTCTGCATAGCTCAGTCTCTGAAGATCCCGCAGGATCGCAAAGACAAGACCATCGACTTCGATAAAATTATCAAGCAGCTTCTAGAAACTCCTAATGCCAGGGCCATTGTTATTTTTGCCAACGATGAGGACATAAAGTAAGGATGATTAAGGAAATTTATTTGTTTTATAGACATACATAAAAGAGAAAGCAAGTAATAATACAAATAATTATGCACAAACAATTATGCGGTAAAAATACCGCAGGAAGAGGGAGTTTACACTTTGTCACAGCAGTGAGGAAAGGGAGTGCTGCACAAGGTCTGAACAATTTTCSTGTGACTCCAAACAACGTCATAAGATTACTCATGCATTTGATGGCAGACTTGACCTTACTTCTCAAAAAGACATCGTGCCTCTCCTCATATTAGCAATACTGTGTATTATTTATTACTACAGGCAGTTTTAGGGCAAAAAAATAGCTACTAGTGATAAAAGGGCTTGTGTGGTCAAGGTTAAATCACATACAGATACCATTTACTCTTAAAATAATAGCTTAAAAKGGTATGACTTGCATTTTTTTCTAGTCTTTCTTATATCTTCTCTGTCTACGACTTTTAAATTAGCTTGAAGTTTTGATTTGTATACCCCTGAGCGGCTCAGTTGTGTCGAACAATACCAACAAGAAGTTAAGATAAAGTTTCAGTAAAATCAATGGCAACATTTTAAGTTTTAGTGGAATCAGGATTTTATTCTTAATATACAAAGAGATTTAAACAAATGAGTCAGTCTGTGTTGCATGGATCATGACAACCATTGTGAAATTTGTAGACTCTGTTATTTACAGGAATATGCCTTTTCTGTTCATTCTGCAGTCTTGCAACATGCTATTTTTACTAAGCAATTAAATGCTTCAGTTAAATTTTTTATGAAGAAAATGTTCTTTTCTACAGGCAGATCCTTGCAGCCGCTAAAAGGGCAGATCAAGTTGGTCACTTTCTTTGGGTGGGCTCAGACACTTGGGGTTCCAAAGTGAGTCCGTTAATTCAGCAAGAAGATGTTGCTGAGGGAGCAATCACCATTCTGCCCAAGAGAGCAACCATAGAAGGTAAGAGCTCTTTCTCATTGTCACAGCTGCTCACCTTTTTTCTTCCTATTTCACGAATCTCCAGTGTTACAAAATTGATTGTCTATATATTCTGATGTATTTTTTGTGAATAAATATGTAGAGATAAAATGGTAATATTAAAAAGATCAATAGGTAAGATAAAATTAGTATAAAATTAAGTTTTCATCACCTGAGATTTTCCTTTATGTATTCCTTATCTGAAAGCTGTGTTATAGCCACAGTTGAAAACCTACCAGCAGTTATTCATTAAAAGTATGCTTTCAGATCTTATTTTAAGGTTAGCTAATAGCACAAGGCCCTTATCGCGTAAAGTAAAATAAAATGTTCTTAATGTATAATATGTGTACGTATGAAGGATAGGAAGGAAAAATCTGTTGCAATTTACATGTCACTTGTTATTCAGTGAATGTGGTTCCTACTGAAGCAGTAAAAATTAATTTTCAGATGAGTAGTGTTACATTTTAACTTAAGTTAAATATCATTCAGATCAAACATTACATGTATTTTATATAATTTACTAATATTCTTCATACAATACATATTTGTACATACACAAGTGTATAAAAATGTATGGACTTTTTATTTTCTCTACATAAGTACTTCCTTTCTCATAATTTCCTTTTTTTCCTGAAGTCTTTATTTTCTGGTCCTTCTTCCATTTGCTATCCCCTTTGTCTGCACAGGTGCATGAAATTACAAATGGCTTCCTTCAGGGCAAACCAAAACTGCTGATTAGAATCTGTTCTCCTTTAATGTGAGAAGAAAAATTCTGTGCAAGGGAGACGAAAGTGTTGAAAAAGGATCTCCTCTGCTAGTATGTGGCTTTGTGTTCCTCATCTGTCAGACCRGGTCTCCACAGAGTCTTTGGAACATATTTCATGTCTTAAAATAAGCTCTAGTGTCTTCAATCACAGGGAGACCATATAGTTGGATTCTCTTTTACGGTGTCTACGCTATTACCTTATTGATTATTCTTCACAAATCTATAATATGCTTCATCCTTTTATATTTTTGAGGTATTGGAGGCATTTTTGCATGGTATGTTTCTGTAGTGGCATAAAGTTGATAGACAATTAACTGATCATTTTTTTTCCAGGAATATCATTTTTCCATTTAAAAAAAAAAGGTATTTTAATTATCCTTTCATACCATCTGTGTTCATCCTTGAGGGTTTCTGACCTCGAAACTAAAGGTCTACTAGCAGTACACACACAGACATATAAAACTTTTCCCAGTTTACTTGTTTTAGAATATATTCYTCTTATATTACCCAATAAGCACATTTTATATAAGGGAAATATGTCATTTCCTTTTGGAAACACTGTGGTGACTGCAGAACAGAAGAGTTTGGGTGCAGTAGGTTTGTAAATCTTCAAACCTTCGTGATTTAAACATCAGCAAATTCAGTGTCTCTGCAAAGAACTGTTTCCATTGAGCTCTCAATTTATTCAATATATGAAATTAGATAGTTAATCAGTACAAAATGCAACTAAACAGTTATAGGTATGTAGATTACATGACTATTTGAATTTGTGATATTTAAATTATATGTGTATGTGTATTCAAGAACTGATACCATATGGACAGATACATATTTGGGGGTTCATGAGTTGCGTGTTATTCTCAGAAAGGGAAAAACACTCAGAAAACAACAACAAAAAATTGTGGTATTAACTGAGGTGCAAAGTAAAAATATACTAGAATAACGGTTACAATGTCAATAGCAAATGCTCCTGAATCCTTTGTAMCTGCTCAGTAAGGTTCAGGCTGGTCCTTACCTTTTTCAATCCTGTTCATCCATCTCTAATTACCATCTGTAYCTGCCATCTGCTTAGTCCTATTAGGAGGAAAGAGTAAAGAGAGGGTAAAGAATGCAGAGCAAATTCCTGTTCTCCTGTGCAGTAATTTTGGTATTGTCCTCYACTGGCAGACTTCTTAGCACTATCCTAGGAACTGTTTTGCTTTGTAGGAAGCATTTTTCCAGAACCACGCATCTTTCAGTCAGACACCATTTCTAGTTCATCCACTGGGAGAATTTTTCAGTGAAATCTCTTACAGGAAGCAAGTAATCTTTACATATTAGTATCTTTTTGTCTTGTGAAGCTATTATCCTTTTGGATCATCTTTCTTGCACTTAGACTACTGTAATTTGTTTTGTTTTTCTGTTGTAATTTCATTTGGCTACAAATCCAAGAGAACAGGAACTGTATATCTTAATGTCATTCTTTTATCATCAAGCAATGAACATCTGCCCCTTAAAATTTAGTAATGCATTTCTTTTGATGAATACATAAAATAAATAAGGCTTGGTTATTTCTTCTCCCCTCCAGCCCCACTCTAAAGTGATGGAAACAAACTCAGTTAGCAAAAGGGAAGTGCATTTTCCTTAAAGGAACAAATCTGGGGCAGTATCATAGTCTGGCGCTGTCTCTTCATGTAGTGCTCTGCAGCAAGGTTGCCTCCTGCCCCCACAGCTCAAGGTTACAGTTCAAGAAAACAGGTAAACATCAGCTTAAACCCTGCTGAGGTTGGTGAGGCTTAAGAATTGAAATAACTGTTACTGTAGAGGTAAATAAGGATCCTCGAGACTATCTTAATTTTATTTCTTAAGTTTTAAATAGTACTTACTGTGCATTAGAAAAAAATTCCTAACAAACTYTGTTGGAAGCAGCTCTGTAGCCACTAATTCTAGAGCTGTTGCTGATGATGGAATAATACCATACCTTTATCTTAAATATGTGATTCCGCTAGCCTCTGCTCAAAGCTAAGAGAAAAATTCTAGTCTAATAAACCAAAAAGTGTTAAATTTCATTGAAAATTAATGTGGCAACCTTGTATATGTGATACCCTTTGTATTATTAAACATGTAAAGTCTGTTGTTTATATAAGTCATAAACTGAAACAGAAAAAAAAATACATTTCGTATAATGTTTTCCGCTCTAGACACACACTTTAAATGCAAATGTGTTATTGTATTCCGTTGTCTACGCATCTGCAATTTGAAGTGCGCTCCCCATTTCTCAGSACTGGGTATCCTGGTAACCTGCGACTCCACTGGGAGTTTAAACCCTTCAATTGCCCRTGTAGTCAGGCCCCAGGTAGGCAGTTACTCGTCTGGATACCGAATGCCACTCTCAGGATAAATTTTGCTTTGCATTAGTCCCGTGGGATGATTTGGGAAATCATCACACGAACCAAATTCATTCATCTTAAGTCAATCTTAATACAGCCCGCTTGTGTTTGATGTAATTATGCTGGCTGAAGTTGCATCTTATTTGCATAATTGCAGTAGACAGTGAGCCAGAGGAAGTGCACACTTAAATAGTAATCACTTCATAAAAACTTGTGTTGGAAACAGGCTTTATAGCCAGCTTCAACCAAGTATCAACTGAACTGAAAAGCTTTCCAAGGTTTGTAAGGAAAAAGGCAGAGTATTTATTTCTGGAAGAGCTATTGTGGCAGAATACTGTATTTTGGTTATTGTTGCTTTTGTGGCTCAAGCTCTCCATCACTGTCCAGCAATACTTCTTCAGCAAAGGCAGTGTCACAGATTGAATCTTTTCCAGGGCTTTGTAATTAGCTTCTAAAGCTTTCTCTCTGTATCCCTTGGGCCTTGAACTSTGTTTTTAAGACTGAGATGGAAGACTGTAACTTTGGGTGACGTTTTGTTCTGGGCTGCWCTGCTGGTGTGCCCGTCCTGCTATGAGAGCCTGCTGAGGGGCAATTTGTTCAGACCTGCCCTGGGTTCTCCCATGTTTCGTGCCGAATCTTGTTTCCTCTTGCCCGTGTTCACGCAGGTCCCGTTGGGATTGCAGGAGCACAGAGCRGGCAGCAAAGGCAGCCCAGGATGCGGCCAGGCCGGGGGCTCGGCTGAGCRCTACCGGCGCATGGGCCCTTCATGGGGCATGTTTAGGAAGCCAGGCATCATGTGGTGCTGCTTTTTCTRTGTTCTTTCATGCACTGCCAGTTTGAAGCTTCCTCATGAAAAGTGCAGCACAATTAAATGTTGGCTTCAATACCACTCTGCGGTGATGCAGTCTCCTGAGATTGATAGATATGGTAATRCTGTTGAGGTTCAGCCAAATAGGGCCTGTTCTCCAATTGTAGAAAGAAATTGTATATTCACTGGTGTTTCAGTAGCAGTGCAGCGCTTAACTTTAAAAGGTTGAAAAGGAGGCTTTGGGGAGAGGTTTAGTAAGTTCAAAGAGCCAGTAGCTTAAGGGAAGCATTATTTTTTCATATGCAGATATAGGAAAGTTGAGCAACACAGTTTAGAAAGTTACAAATTAATTTTTGTAGTTTCCTTTTAACTTAAAACATTGAAGCTTTCTTTTCTTCTTTTGTTTAAGAGTCTCTTTAACTATTAGTCGCTCAGAAATAAAATGTCAAACGTGATCTTTGTACCGCTGCAGACTCAAAGCAAAGTCCTCCTGGAATTCCAAACCTGTGGTTCTGTAAGGAACATGTTCAAAAAATGCACATATTGTTACAGCTCAAAATGCCAACTTCTGTGTGGTTATCGAAACATAATAATTGCACAAGAGTGTTTAGCTAAACATTGCACATTTGACTAGTTTTTGATCAGTTGTTGACTTTTTTTTTGTTTTGCAAGCTTGAAGGTGTAGTCTTTCTAGAACATTAGAGTTGACTACCTTGCTTAATTCAAAATACGGTTTGTGCCAGAAGCAGCACTAGAAAGCAATTTTATCTCAATGGAGTATGAATCAGGATGTTTTCAAAGGGTATTATTACTGCATAATGAAGAACTTTGATGGGAAGTTTAATTGGGCCACCTTTTTGGCCTGTTGAAATAAAAGACCTGTTCTGCTCRTAATAGAGGTACTTCTCTAATTTGAGGCATCTCTCATTCTATGGATATATGCATCTATCTGTGCATCTTTAATATAATATATATACTATCGTTATATTTCTATATTCTCTATATTGCTTCTAGAGCTTGTGTGGGCAGCTCATTGGTG